TGATGAGCTCTTATTTGTCTTTACAAATAAGGAATAAGGAGTCAAGCACTTTAAAAAAATAGTTTATGTTACAGTATGAAGGTATCCTGTAGACAAACTACAAACTATGGGACTAGTAAAAGCGCTATACAAATACAGGCCATTTTACCATTTACAAAAATCATACTGCGTGCATTCTCTTATATACCAGTATGCAGCAGCACAGAGAATCTCACCTGTGTGGGTGCACATCTCGTATCCTTGTTTTAACACTTATTTATAATAATAATAATAATAATAATAATAATAATAATAATAATACATTTTATTTGAGGGCGCCTTTCAGAAACCCAAGGTCACCTTACAAAAAACACAATTAATAAAAGGAACAATAGTCATAAAATACATAAAAAAATATAGTAAAAATAGTAATAGTAGATAATAATAATACACACACTATTTAAACTTGTATTTCCTTAACTTAAAGTCTGTCATCCATCGCTGTGCATTGCGTTAAAACCACTGAGAGTGTTTTCCTTTGAAATGCGGTGCATTAAAAGTAGCCTTAGATGGAAAACCTCAAATCTGAATTCATAGTAAAACTTCTGTTTCAGCTTCTTTCTGGTTCTAGCGTCACTTCTTGTTCATAATAAAGTGAGTAGCAAAGCTGCCTATGAAGTTTTCTTTGAATCATTTATGGGTTTGAGTGGACCCATTAGCACACAATTAATAACATTCGCCTCATTGGTGAATATATTGACAGACACTGTGGGTGACTCAGGGCAGGCATAGTTTAAGAGTTAAATAGTTTCTTGCTATTATGCAGCTTAATATTATCATGAAGTCAATTTCCAGCTTTTCAAGCAGTTGAAAAACATGGAAGAAATGGGCTGAGGTTAACTAAAGCCTCCGAGGGGGGAATCAAAACTCATGCAGCTTTAACCGTCCTCTTTGAATAAAAACACATAAATTGCTCTTACCCTGAGTTGAGGTGACTCATGGCTTTCAGTCTGCCCTCTCTTTAAAATCCCCCCCAGCGTCTGAGATATGAAGGCAGGGCTCGGCGCTCGTTGAAGACGTTCAGGTTTACGTGATGTC